CCTCGTGCTGAAGGCATCCTGAAAGCCCCCCTCCCAGCGTGTCCTCTCTCTACCCCTGCTGGGAAGCGTCTCCAGGCTTGGCTGGCAGGGGGTGGGGGATAGCAGCTCTGTGGTGCTCTGCCTTGCTGAGACATTCCCCCCACCCCCCATTCCCTCCCACATGCCTCAGACTCCCTCTGCCTTCCAGTGGGTGTTGACCCACCCATACTGATCTCTTTTTTCCACCTTCCAGGAGCGCAGGGCCTTGGAGCGGAAGGCAGCTGAGCTGGAGGAGGAGCTCAAGGTAAATTCCCCCTGGGGGGCTCTGGGCTGGGTGGGGCACAGGTCTGAAGGCAGGTGGGTTGCAGTGTGTGTGTGTGTGTGTGTGTGTGTGTGTGTGTGTGTGTGTTTACAGTTGGGTAGAGAGCTGGGTTACAGGTGTAATCTGCAGGGGGATGTTAGATGGTGCTATAAACCTGATGTGTGTGGGGGTGATGCTAGTCTGGGTGAGTCCTGGGCTTCTTATTTGGGTCTGAGGTCTGTTTAGTTCGTCGGAGGGGGAGGGGACCACTGAGCTGTGAGGGTCCCAGGGCTGTGATCTGTACTGAGCAAGAGGACTCTGATCTGCAGGGGGGAAGGGTGAGAATCCTGTACTGGGTGACTCCAGGCCTTTGCTTTGGATGAATAATTGCCCCTGCTCCTACTGCCAGGCTCTCTCGGACCTGAAAGCCGACAACCAGCGCCTAAAGGATGAGAATGCAGCTCTGATCAGAGTCATCAGCAAGCTCTCCAAGTGACTACCTGCCTCCTGACTGGGCCACAGCCCACACACCCACACACACCCATACTGCAACCGCACTTCCCCAAAATGCGACCATACACGTGTGCACACCCTGACCCCAGCAGTGCAACTATATAGGCGGGCAGGCGCGCACACACACACACACACACACACACACACACACTGGTGGGCTAGACCACGTCAAATCAACCCCCAACCCAGGAGGCCTGTTCAGCCTGAGAAACACTCCCAAAATCTTCCACTCGGGGTAGTGGAGGGGGGACCCCTGCCAGAGACTCCCAACAGAACCAGACCTGCTGCTTGGACCTTCCCTCCCCCTTATTTATCCTGTGGCTCTTTACCTTTGTTCCTGCTCTTTGTTTAAGTGAAGCTGATCGTTTGTAGCTTTCAGGAGCCAGCACCAGGTCCACTATGCTGCCCCCTCTCGTCCTGTTTGTGAGAGGGGTGCCCCCTCCAGCGTCTCTGTGGGTGGCACCACCCCTTTACTTCTTCCTCAGTAATGAACATTTTGCTTGTGGGTTGCAAGGGGGGAAGAGGTCTTTGTTGGTGTAAAGGGGCAGTGAAAACTATCCCCACCAGAGCCGAGCTTGCATCTGGCAGGATTGATGTCATGCCAAATTTGGATCTCTGTTGTTGGGGCATGGCCACAGGCTAGGCAGGGAAAATAGCCAAGCTGGGGGTGCTGTTGGTAGGTGCTAGTGGGGCAAGGTGGGGATTTGATGGTGCTAGGCATGGGAGGTGAAGAGGAGGGTGAAGGTGGGCTGAGAAAAAAGATGGGTAAGGTAGGGAGCAAGGCAGCTGGGGGGTGCTGTGGCAGTGTTAGGGGTGGGGGGAATACAGTGTTAGGGGACTGGGTATTAGGGGGCTCCCTGGATGCTGGGGGGCATCTCACTGGGATCTGTTCCTGCTTGGCTCTGCCCCCTCCAGCTCAATGGAGCCCAAAAAGGGGGTGGGCTTACTACACTACTCCCAGCAGCCTCTGCTGTACTTTGTGGGTGGGGTGGGGATTGGTGTCCTCCTGTCCTGGCCCCATCTCCTTTGAGGTATCAAAGGGGATATGGCTTTTCTTTCTCAGCAGCCTTAGAGCTGTACCTTGAGGCGGCGGGAGCTGGTGCCGCACTTGGCCCTAGCCTCTTTGAGGTGTCAAAAAGGGGCATGAGGGGAGATTCCTAGTTTCTTCCTCAAAGGGCTTCCTTGTGCGTGTCCCCATGGTCTGGGCCATGGGTGCGGGGATCCCAGGTTGGTGCCACACTGCAGGGGAAGTGGGGCAGCATCCCCTGAGACCAAACAATCACAGTCATAGATTCATACATCTATGAATGACCAAAAAAAAAGTGGGGGGGTGCGCAGGACTGGCTTTGACCTACTCACTGCCCTGCTGCCAGCAGCCTAGTTCCCCACCCCACCTTCTCCAGTTCCCCAGCAGAACTGGTCCAGATTCTTGGCTTAGCCAAAATCCCATCTTCTATGAGCCCAAGCTGGGGGTGGGGGAAGCTGCTGTTCAGGGACTTTCAGATCCCCACCCCGCCTACCCCAGACTTCAAAGGACAGTGGGGGCTGGGCACAGACCATAGCTTTCCTCTCTCTAAGTGCCACAGATAGCCCATGTGCCACACAGCAAGGGGCCTATTGGACAAGGACCATTCCAAAATAAAAAGGGGAGGTGTGCATACTTTCCTTAATCTGAGGGCACTATGCATCACCCCCCACAAGCAAATCATGTCAGTTTGGCCACCAATCCTGG